GTCTTTTAGCATTTAATTTTGCCTTCATAACATTTTATATTTGATATTATATTACTTGCATAGGTATTAACTACAACGTAACATAAATATACGAGTTTTACAGTTTTAAAAATATTTAATGTGAAATGGTTTACGTTGTCGTTTCGTAGAAATTCATGTGTTCTACATATTTGGGACGTTATCATGCTTTCATAGAATTGTCGTTTAATCCGAGTGAAAAGCATTCTCTGGAAAAAAGACAGTTCCATTATAAAGCGAATGTAATCGCCATAAATGCCGTATCCATCGCGGATGTTCAAATAATAACTTCAGTCTGATTCAAAGGTTCGGGCTCGTTGAACCGGGGAAACTTCATTTGCGAGCTCCTCTGTCCGTGAAATGAAGTCGGCCCGATATTGCGCCGATCATGTCGACCGACGCGATTCGACGGGGTAAATCGTTGATTCGTTTCACATTCTATGATTTTGAATCGAATGGAAAAATTTGCATTACACTTTTTTATTCACTTCATATCTTCCTGAGTTGTAATCACTTTTGTTCTTGCCACTTTCTAAGAAAATTTATTAAATAATAATCATTATACCATTCAAAAAGAACATAAGTACAAAGTTTTATGATAAGCGGTTGAGTAGTTTCAGCGCCATCGTATAACAATAAAACTTACATTCACATTTATAATATTACTAGCTGCTGCCCGCGACTACGTCTGCGTAGAATAGGCGGAAGGCTTAACATTCAGAAACAAAGACAGATATACATAAAAATATGTATAGAAATTATAGCCTATGTCTTATTCTGATGTATAAGCAATATTATTGTAAAGTTTCATTAAAATCCATTCAGTAGTATTTGCGTGAAAGAGTAACAAACGTCCATCCATACATACAAACTTTCGCGTTTATAATATTAGTAAGGATTATAGTATATATTAGAAATCGTCACATTTGTTTTGCTTAAGAAGAGTGTATAAATATTGATTGTCACATTCCTATCAATCGAATTTGATATTTACATTAAATATTTATAGAAATAGTATAGGTAATAGAGTCAAAAAAAAAAATCTTATGTTTAGGTTGAAAGTTGTGTGTGAGTTTTAAGCCTAGTGAAAAAAAAATTTTCACAATTTGGAATTCAGTTCAGGCGAGACAAGATTGTACTTTTTTTTAAAAATAAATTTAATATTTTTATTTTTCGTAACGTCCTTACTTTATTAGATCTTTCAACAAAACCTGTGATATTCAAAACCAATTGTATATCACAGGTGTAAGGGCAATCCTAATAGTAAAGACATATTTCACCGTGGGGCAAATACATTAAGGGCCCATTTATGTGGAAAACTGGCATTTACTCGTTACTCGGTAACTTCTATTTTCATACTAATTTCATATCATTACGTTTGTTTAGAAAAAGTTTAAAACAATGTATATTTGAACACCGCTGCGTTTTTACCGACGGTAGTTCTCGCCAGTTTTTACAAGAGCGTACAATAAATTGTATTTGACTTTGACAAAAAAAAAATTGGTTGTATGCAAATAAATCATGATATTTATGTTACTCGGTATGTATGTACATTAAGTGCACTGCATTATTATTTTATTCAATTGTATTCAATTTTTTTATTCAATAGTACTTTACCACAAAAAAATTCTAACTTGATATCATATTAAGATAGAAACACGAATATGTAGTTTTAAAATATTACCTTCTATGAGATACCTAGAGTGCTTGTCTGCACGTAATAAATAGGACATGTACTTATAGAATCATTTCATTTAATTCCGATTAGTCGAATTTTGTTATTTTTGCGTAATTTGTATAGGAACGTGATCCTCTGATGTTTTGTCCTCTGGTTGTTCAGTAATATATAAAGGAAAGTATTAAATAAATGAATTTTTAAGTTAGAAGATAAAACAAAAATTTGATTTTGTTGTTTACATGTATCAATCAATGTCTTTTTTTTTTAAGTTTGATGTATCGCAAGCGGCAATTATTTTTGTTATAGGTATTTTTTACTTAAATAAAAACATAGAGAAAATACTTGAGATAGATGACTCAAAACTTATAGGTTTTGGGCCACATAATTGAAAAATAGTAAATCTAGCCGCAATATAAATTAAAAGTAAAGTTAAGTATCAGCTTTTACATGTCCCACTGCTGGGCAAAGGCCTCCTCTCTACAGAGGATATTAGGGAATAGTCTACCACGTGACCCTATTGAGGATTGGCAGACTTATTTTCGACACATATTTCTTTTGTCAATATTTATATTTCGAATATATGCAGGTTTCCTCACGTTTTCCTTCACAGCTGAGTACGTGATGAAACAGCAGATAAAATAACAATTTCAGGTGCTAGCACCGGGATTTGAACTACAAGTTGATCGAGTATTATGAATTAAAAGCGAGCTCCCAGATACCTATAACGATCTAAGCTATTACGACCCTAGCTTAAATAAAACCATGATTAAATTCTGAATTCATTAACTTCGTTCAGTCAAAAATTTAAATGCCGTTCAAATGGAAATACTGTGTTATTTTCATTTGTTGATTAAGTAACGGAATGGACCGATAAATTAGGTAATCGGTGCCATTGGCGGAATTAATATCGCTTTTGCAAGCAGCAGCGAAGTCTTTTAAGTCAAAAGTTGGCAAACTAGCAATTGGACGGAGTTAAGCATATACCAATGCCCACTGGACTTTTATAATACTTAGGGGTTATACCAATGATTAAAAAAGTTGGCCCCTTTTAGAGGTAAAAGTACAGTACGCACCCCTAACGGCATTCTGTCTGTTGAGTCCACACTCAAATTCCAAAGTAGAATACTTCCCTAGTTCTCACCGCTCTAGACTAACCAAGCACAGTCAACGGCTATCGGGGTCACGGTCCGCACCGAACCTCGATAGCCCATAGGTGACACTCCTTAGCACTTGGTAGGGCACGCATGAGCACATGCGTGCACTACCGTACCGTAGCTCTCACGGCTCTAGAGCCGTGATAGCTCAGTGTCCGGGCGCTCGCCTTTAATTCAATATACTCGAGCAACCTGAGTTCGATCCCCGGTGCCGGCACCAATGAAGTTTTTAACTTTAAGTGCTGACTTACCAGTGCTCCGCGGTGAAGGAAAAATGTATTTCGAAAATGTGTGAAGTCCGCCAATCCGAAGTGGGGCCGCGTGGTGGACTACGCTCTGATACCCTCTGTATAGAGGAGGTCTTTGCCCAGCAGTGGGACATGTATAGGCTGTTACTTTACTTTACTTTACTTTAATTCCAATTCACGCCATTCTTCAGTATGGCTCTCATTCTTCTCCGAATGAGCCTGCCCATTCGTGCAAAAGCAAAAGCTGCTGTGTCTACTAAGTTTAATGAGATTGACTACACGACTGGTTAGTAACCGAATGGCGTAGGGATTGCAGACTATTGCGGATTTTTCTTTTATTGGAAGCTTTCACTCCGCGTGTGGAAATTTGCAATACTTTTCGTTAAGAAATAAATTTGCTGCCTTAAAAATACTACTATTTATATTGGTATGTATCTACTTATTGCTATGCTCCCTACACGTGTTGTCTTATGGAGCATAATTTCTACAACTGGTATTTTGTTAGGTCATTTAGAAGGAAAAGCCATATCGTTATCTTAGTTTTAAATGTAATAATATGTTTCATGGTGAAAATATAACAAACATAGGTGTAACAGAACGATAATCATTGAAATGTCAACCAAAATGTCCATTACACTTCTTAAAATAAGATTTTAGGGCTCGACTAAAAAACTAATGTTTCCTTACGAATTAAACACACTTGTAAAATGATATACAAGTAGTGAATTGAGGATCACTGATTTCTCTTAACAGTTTGTTTATGCATTTAACAACGCTACTACTACTGGATTTAATAAACTAATAGAGTATGGCGTGACCGGCCGAAAACAATTCGACATAATATGTTAGTGTTCGAATAAACTAATTATTTATTATTATTGTTCTATGATGGCCCCTTTGTTTCTCTCAATATTACCAAGGGCGATTTATAATTAAAAAGCCATTATTGTTGTAAGTTTAAAACAAAATTTATTTTTACATTTATTCTTAAATTGTTAAATCTAATAACTAACTTTATTTCTTATTTCCGAACGAAGAATAGAAATTATTATACTATAACGAGTAATAAAAAAAAATATTTATTATTTCGATGACTACTTTTTAGAAATTAAGAATACTGTTTAACATAATGAGTAGCAAGAACTCATTAAGTTTATATATAATTAAAATGTCGTAATACAAAACATAGTCCATTACCAAAGGGCATACTCATTAAAAATCTTTACTAAGCCAAGCGCAGACATTGACGGAGGTTAATGCGAGCTCTATATACTTTTAGACCTCCTGAAAATTTTCAGAAATATTACACAACTCCGCCCTATTACAGCACGGTTTGCCATTGGTCGCAGGTTGTCTACTTCCGCCGAGTTATCGACCAATGGGTGTTGAGGCTACGCGCAGCCGTAACACTACGGTAGAGAGCGCGGGGTGCTACGCCATAGACAGAAGCTGCTACGGACCTGCTACGCCAGGGGACCGAAAAATGTGAGTAGATTTCATTGTTGCAAGTTATGTAATCACTGCCGTCGTAGGTTCTATTTCATAATTTTGTAGAAGTCTTGAGTGAAAACTCATTCATATGTGATTATACATGGATAGATTTACATTTACATGTATACATATATGTATATGTATATGTATAAATATTTAGGTCACGCATTTTATTTCCTGTACGATAACAGTAATAATATTAACTCGCTTTAAATTTTAAATTCTTTATTCATATTTTTATCAAATATTTTTTTAATACTGGCGATGACGATCGAAGGTTTTGTTAAAGATTATTTAATTTTTTGGTATTAACTATATCTACATAAAAATACCTAGAAGAAGATTAAAATAGGATTTACTTTCAGGTTTTAGCAAAGTGTAGAATTTGATGTGGGACATCCGCTGCCAACAATGCAGGGGCTCCAAGCCGCGAAGGAGAAGGCTTCAGGCCTGTTCGCCAACAAACCCCTTCTTTTCAAGTAAGTGGAGCTTCTTTACACGTTTAAAAAACTATTGCTTTAAGCAGTTTATCAAAATTTTTTATTGACTAAGCCGTCGGCTCCCTATGCGGTACGAAATGAAACTAGAGCGGGCTAACGTTTCGATTGTTAGTCGACGTGCTTATTTATATATATCGTTATATCTCTCGTGGGTTACGCAATAGGATAGTTAATATTTATGAGAATATTGATTTATAATTAATATGAAAGACAAAAGAAAAACACCTTAATCAAATAGAATTACTACATTAACTAATTAAATTAAATTTTACTAATGTAAACTAAGTAGAGAGTAAATTAGTTTTATAGTTTTTTGACATTAGGAGTTACGAAATCATATTCAGTCGGTGGCGTATTTAAATTATTCAAGCTAAATATTTATATAATTCAAATCGATAAGAATCTTTGATATAAGAGCTTTCATATATGAAGTCCAATATATGATAAGGTTTACCATCACAAATATAAACAAAAATAATTTATAGGCTTTAAACTGTTAGCATGATCGAAGTTGCTGCTTTAATTTTTTTCATTAATACTCGTAAGTGTTCTGTACATTGAATATACGTATAATGAAACCATAGTGATGATGACGTTATATTTCATTTAGCTTGACTTCACGTTTGTTGCTTTATTCTTTAATAATAATTTTAAAAAAACTTTACTGAATCAATATTGAAATTTTAAAGTTTAATTTGTAAGTAAACTAAGGCAAAATATGAATTATTTAGGAAAAATAAAACCCAATGTATTTTAATGAAATAAGAGGCAAACCCTTGTTGAGATTAAAGGGTTTTTAAAGATTTTAAAAGGTTTTTTGGGGAAGATTGACCAAATAAATAATAGACTGTTGAGAAACTGTTATTTTTTGGTTAGCTTAATCCTACGCAGTGTAGAAATTTAAAATTCATACGCCTTAGATCTAAATGATCTTGGTGAAAAGTAGACATAGTTGCAGTGATGCAAAATACATGATAACGGTACAAAATCTTTTAAAGGTGTTAAGAAGCTCCAGGCAGGAATTTATTAAAAGCGGTAACATTAAATGAAACAAGTACCTACATATCATTTTCTAATGTTCACCAGGGACTACTTAGTAGTTAGTTCTGGATCTTTTTCTAATAGTTATACGAATACCATACAATATTTTGTAAGTTCTTCAGAATGTTTTGGTGCATTGACGTCATAGGAAGGGTTGAGGTTTCTTTTTGAAGCAAACGAAACGGGTATTTCTGTTGGTAAACTTGAACTAATAAGGAAAAATTTACCTGATGTACCGTCGCTACCATGGCTTATCATTAAAAACCTCCTTGGATCCTCATTTGGATAGTCAACTTAAATAGGGATAGTATTATTAATTTGTGACAACTAATACGAGTTACGTATTTAAAATTTTTACATAATGCATTTGAGATCTGCTTTTGTATTGTAGCCTAATTTCAGATTACGCTCACGTAGTTTACTTGTTTTATAATAATTTTTGGGGGTCTATTATAGTTTCACTGAATTCTGAAATGTGAATAGTTGTATAATAACTTTTTCTGTTCCTATAATACAAATATTTGTATTACAGCACTTTGTCTTAAATAACACAAAGATGGTTCCTAATGGTAGTTTATATAATGGTAGTATCCTAATAGTGGTATCTTGCTTTTAAATAACAATTGTCCTGAAAACGAATTTATATCTCGGTTATGCAACAACAATCACATTTTGATTCAGCTTAAGTTTGGCATGGCATGCTATTTCCTTCAAATCAACAATAAATAGACTAAAAACATGGGAAAAGACATAAACGACAAAAGACGTTATGAGAAACCAGTAACCTTATCAACAAAGGATCTAACCAGTAATGACACCCAAAATCCAGTTAAAACACAATATTGGGAAATGGTTCCGTACAGAATCAATATTGAATCAATACAGAATCAGAATCTTCATGCAATAAAAAAAGAACAACAATTACGGGATAGGATAAAGAATTCAACAAGTTTTATTCAATTAATAAACAACAGAATTTTTTAATGTTTGTCTATTTATTTATCTGAGTATCAAGCAAAAACCACTAAACTAAATTTGATGGGGTTATCACGATTTGGTTCCTTGGAGCCCATCATAAAATCTAAGCAATGTTTCCGGACGGGTACCATCACTGATACAACTTGGCCTCTCCACTATTGCCACTATTCTTCATACACTAAGGCGGTCATTTAAAATGGTGTTTTTGTTTTCACGGCGAAAAGTTAAATTGTCATAAAAACTATTCCACGCAGACGAAAATGCAAGCAAAAATAAATTTAATAGTCTAATCAACTTTCCTGAAAAAGAAAATTGGTGACCTGATCTACACAATTTGAGCGATCAATCCTTCATCCTTATAGAACTTTATACAGAAACTTATAACAGAAACTTTTTTATTTGTATAATAACTGTTCTTTAGAAATTTAGTAGTATATTTGAGTTATTCTAACACGGAACCCTAATTTCAGTGTGAATCCACGGCGAGAAAACATTGTCATGACAATTACTATAACGGTCCCGAGAAACTCAAAGCTAAAAGCAAATTAAAGATATAATATTTACAAGATTTAATCTATCTAAAATTACATATTATCTAATAATCCACGCGGCATGGTGCCAAGAACGCTGGCTGCATTTCCTCGCGGAATAGTTATGCTTAACCTTTGAGCAACGAGAAAAGAACCAGCTCTCTTGTCACCAGCCGCTGCGTTAGGCCTAGGACGTAAACTTTAAAAAAAAATTGATGTGCGGGGACCCCACGGACCTAAAGTCTCATCAATTAAAGTATAATTCGTACCCTGCGTAGAACAACGTAACATCTGCAAAATTGTAATTGTTCAGGACCGTCGATTCATATTATTATTTTTTTATTTTGGTTTTAGTTTTCTTATACATAGCTTATGTCTTTATACTTATGTCTTTGTACTGCGGAGCACAAATCTTCAAGTCAGACGAAATACCACCAAAATTTCACCATAATAGTTGAATATTAGATTAACAAATTGCTTATAAAATCTTATAGAGTCATGTTAAAAGAATGAATTGGAATGAATAAAGAGAGGTAAAGGAAACGTAACTCTTGTTAACTAGTTGCTAGTACATTAGAATTTTGAGACTTGCGTCACCGACATATAGATTGTGTAGAACTTATTTGTGACGTGTTATAAATTCGCCACTTCAGAATAAAATACACTTTCATTGTTGGTTTATATAGCCAACAACAGTTTTTTAAAAAACGTTCTACGGTCTTTTTTAGAATTAGCTTTTGCTACACCGGTATACGATTTGGTGGTGGACAAGAAAACTGTATGTAATTAGTGACAGAACGAATGCATTTGTACACAAACAACTGCGTACGTTTTTTTCGATTACAAACTTTTTTAATAGTTGTCATGTCGCCGAATACGTACTTTGCTCTGGGTTTGATGCCCACATGGTATTTAAACTCGTGAGTACATAAGTAATTTAACGTTTACGTAATTGAACACCCTACGAGAAACAGGGAACAGTCCCTGGTGCGATATAGTTTAGAAAAATTATGTATATATAAATAACATGTCTGTAGGTTATGTGAAGAGATATTTTTTATTAAAGGAACAATTTTGGCCAAAAGACTCTATTGGACGACGGACACCTCCGTGCGATAAAAGCGATTTTTTTAAACAAATGCGGGCTAAAATAACATATTCTTCGTGCATAGTGTGCATCCTAATGAACATTGTATAATAAAATTAAATTTACGTGGTGGTATAGCTTTTAAAAAAGCTATAGACAAAATCAGAAATAAAGGCCACTAACTTCGAACTACATAATATTATTTCTACATTTTGTATGAAAAGAACGTTTATTGAAGTTTTTAATGAGGTCATTGAATTCAATGAATGTTATTTTGAGACCTATTTTTCAATGCGCAGTAGGTTGTGGCTTTGTTAATTACTATTCCTCAAATAGACGTTAAACACATGACTCCGTGGAGCAATTGCCAAGGTATTGGCTTGGGCGTCGGGTGTCGTGGGTTCGATTCCCACACGGGACATCTATTTGTGTGACCCACAGATAGTTGTTTCGAATCTGGGTGTTTGTCCGCGTGAAATTTATGTTTGTAAAACGTCCTTACAACGCAGGATAATGTTATTCTATAGAAAGGACAATGTTTTAAAAAAAATAAAAATAAAAAAATACAACAACAGTGATAGTATATATGCCTAGCTCACAAAATGTGGATCAGATGCTTCAAACTTCAGCAATATACCGTTAAGTGAGCGGAGAGGCGGTGAAAACAATCACTGGGTCAAGAAAACACGGGGAAACGTAGCAATTTATTTGGAAGCTGCAAGTCGATCGACGATAATATTGACAGTCGGATAATACGTGTTGCAATAGAAATAGAGCGAGGGAGAGTCGTGCCACCGTGCTACTTTGCCATGCAGGGCCGATACATTCAGATGCTCTATTATTTTTTGCTTACGGAAAGTAATACCAAAAGGGCCCTTTCATCTTTTATATGCTATTATAAAAGTTTTAACTCGGTTTTCTCGTCATTTTAATAAATAAAATATTGTCACATTTTCTTCACTTTATTAAAACCTTTCCATATTGTTTGAACATAGTTATTTTTGTATTGTGCATGAAACTGAGTACCTATACTGAGAAAATATATAATACTTTTTAATAAATTTCCTTATGCATGATTTTTTTTGGAAATTAATATAGTCAATGTATTAAAAGTATCCTAATCATCACGATACAAACATTTTCGTCCTAATACCACGGTCAATAAGCTGCGTCGAGATTTGTGGATTATATCGTAAAATATATTACACCGAGATATCTGCGGCACCGCAAATCGAGTGAAAACGATAAATAACGCGATTATTCGGTAGCGGATTGCAACCCTAGACACAGGCGACTGCTCAGCGCTGATAACAAACAGAAATCATCCGGATTTGTGTCGTCAA